TCGGTCTGAGAAGTTAAAATACTGGAAGCTGTATGTTGCTGAGCAATACCAGTTCCGATCATAGCACCAATCCTAATAATAGAAACCATAATCATAAGAATAACAGGTGCAGTACCGTCGTTTTCCCCACATGTAGAATGAGCGACGATAACAATAAGAATACCCATGATAATGATAAGGGCATTGGAAACACCCAACACCACGGCCGACCTCCTTAACCTCTTCAATTCCGGTGCCGGTAAAGGCACCATTTTGCGGAATGAATTAGGAAATGTCAAACCCAATCCAAATCCCTTTGAACGGTTCCTCAAATTGGGTAAAAGAGGAAGAAGAGGAGACATCAATTAACAGATGAATGAATTCCACATTTTACAAGTTTCCGATCATCTTTTTCGACCTAACAATCGTCGTTTAGGAGACAGATATGCCTCCTACAATAACAAACAAAATGACACAAATCTCATTTTTCTTAATAAAAAACGGATATATTTATTAATTATTGGAAATTTTTGGTTTATATTTTATGATGTACTATATAAAATAAGAATTTCAAATGTTATCCTTTTCTTTTCATATAGTTTCCTTGAAATTATTAGTCATTACACATTATTTTTCAGCACTATAATCTGAATGTGACTATTTGGAACAATACCCTCTTTAAGGTTTTAAAAAAAATTATTATGTATAATTGCATTTCTCAACTTTTATTACAACTAGTAATGACTTTCGGACATAGTAATTTTTTAGTCTTATGGAGTACTTGATAATTACTTTTACCAATTGAATTTAGTAATAGCAACCTCAAAATATTTTGTATGTGATGGTATATCATTTGACAAATTCAAAAGGCGGATTTTCATTGACTTAATGTACTACTTTTCATAATTATCATATTCGGATCAAATTACGCACACCTCAAGCTGCTTGTTACTTTTCACACCATAAATTTATCCACCAAGACTATTACTATCTCGTAACACTTTCAATGTGGTCATCATAGTCATCACTAGTGAAGAATTTTAAAAATCATACCTTTATTTTCAAGTTATAAGACATTTGTATAGAAAAAATTAGTAATGAAGAACTAGAAAATTTACTGAGAATATACATGATAAAAGAAAAAATGTAACAAATGCAGATGGATACTGATTTTATTTCAGAAAAAAAAAAGAGCAAGAGCTACCAGTTACATCATCCACTGTTATTATTGCCATTAGTTCAAAGCTCAGAAAGGTTTCCCAAAAGGATTTCGAACTGGAAAACATAGTACTATGAATCTACAAAATGACATGATTACTACTAATACATAAGAACACAGAAATTTTGATACAAGAGTATCTTCAGCTACTACATGCCTCAAAAATACTCCTTCCCCTCATCAAATCTTCCATGAGCATCTCACTCTCCTTCACTCAAGATTGGTACGATGAGCGGTTTCAACTGCGCAAGGTACACAATTGCCCACCTATCCATAAAAAACATAAAAAGAACGAATTTTCTTCTGAGTAATCTACTGATCATTAGATTTAGTTAAAATTTCAACCATATGTCATTCATGTTGGTTGAGTTTGTTTACTCAAAGCTCTCGCTTGTTTTATCCAAACGTCAGTATAAATGGGCAAAGTAAAAGAACTTATGGTTCAACATTGGTCCAACCAGACAGAGTAGTAACAACTCAACTAATATTTTGATAAAAAGGTAAAGCAGCAATATTCAAATAATTTTAGAAGTTTCCATTGTAAATGTAGTAGTATTCTCTCCTGCTATAGGACAGGCAGATCTAGCAACATCCTGGCAGGAGTATAATTTCGGTGGGTGATGCACAATTAACTTTTTTTCACAGGAGGGTTCTTTAATATTGCAGAACAGAAGGAAAACAGCTATAATGGAGCTATAGAAAATGAAGTTATGAACTCCACAACATCTCTCTCTAAGATGAAGAAATTCAAAGTGAATCCTAGAAAGAAAATCATCATGTAAATCCTCTCACAGGGCCAACCGTCAGCAGTCATCTATCCTAGAACTATGAGTACATGGCTCAACTACGTATCCAGCCAACTCCTTAAAAGACTATATGTTCTTCATTGCAGCAGCATCCCAATATCCAAAAACAGATAAATCTAACAACCCTCTGCATATTTTATGCATACTCAGGCAAGTTGAAGAGTGGAGACAATATATTAAACAACTAGTAAACCAAAATATGCACTAAGCTGAAAGCCTGAAAGAGTAATCTACATAACACATACAATGAATGAGTGATTCACTATGTGACCCCTTTGAACATCAAAAGATTTAAGCCACACAATGCGATGTAGAAAATTCAGACTAAGACTTAACTAGTTTCTCGTTTCAGGTCAAACATGTGAACTGATACGTCAACATTCAAGGAATATGGCTGTATGTACCATGTCTTACTCTTCTATTGACCCTGTGCATGCTAAAAGTGTGTTTTTCTTTATCTTTTTTCCTTTTTTGTGGATGGGGTGTACATGTGTGTGTGTGATAGAGAGAGAGAGAGAGAGACTCACATCATCCAACAGCACACTGTAGCAGTGATAATCAATGTCAGGTGTAACCTGAATCACCAAAGTTCAGTTAGATATGTTGCAACAGAGTTCAAAGTTTCAGTTCCCAAAAAGCTTGGAAGATGGCAGTAAATGTATAAAGACAATTCATGGAAGAAGAAAAACCAAACAAAAAATTCATAATTTGCATCAGTTCTGTTTGCTAAAACGTATTTGGTTCTCTCAGTTATCTAAATTGGCCAAATAATGAAATCCAGCATAAGTCAAGTCTATGTTCAACTCTACAAGGACTATACAGATACTCAAACCACAAAGTGAGGGTAGATGAATTTGAAACCCCTTTGATTTTACGATTTGTTCTCAAATGATTTCAAATATTTAACTCTACCAAGACTAATCTTTACTGCGTTTAGTGTTTTTCTTTTGTTTAAATTGCAATCTTAACATTACGAAGGAGCTGAGAAGTGATTATAATGGGAATGTTTAAACAATTAAATTGATCTTTCACTTACTAATAGTCAAGCAAATTATAAGTATACCAAAACTGAGGAAGCACATCACATAGCATTTTATTGAATTCAACTAATTTAGAACTTAAAGAAGGGACCTCAAATTTAGGAATATCAAGGTGGGAAATCTTAAGAGTGAACATTGCAGACTTGCACTGTCAAAACCCTGCTATCACGTGAAAGTTCAGTCTCAAAGGTTTATTCAATGTCACAAATCACAATATTCAGAAAAGGGTAAATGAAGTCCATACTCTGGCATTTTCTCTCATAAATACATCCCGGTTGTTTGTTATCTCAATCCCTATTCAAGAATTCCCAGACTACTCCGAACCATAGATGATCAGAGGATCAAAGAAATAGCAGCATAAATCGTTCAACAATCTTGTGCGCAAATCATGAACAACGATGGATAGAGACTAAAAAGGTGATCTTTTCCAATCTACCAAAGCCTTGATTGGTAGAGTTATCTGGCACCAACATTGGTAAAAGGATGCAAGTACTCGACGGAAGTACAATCAAGCTGGCTCAACACCACCTTTATTCAAAGCTAAAAAAAAAACATTTTTTGATAGACTTCTCTAATCAATCTAAGAAAGACATAACAAAGTCTAAGCACAAAACAAATAGAAAACTTATGCAATATCAAAAAGCATGTAAAAGACCAACATGAATTATGTTGGGATAGTTGGCATCCCTCCACCTTTAACCAGATGTCTCGGGCATTGCCCTCCAATGCGGGCACTGAATTGAAACAAAAAGTTACTTACTTTAGCAAATTACGACTTTCTAATACACCAACAAACACTAATTCTGATTATAAAGCTAGTTAAATCAAACAATTCTCATAATAATGAACAACAATAACCCCAAACAGAATCTGAAGAAAGTATCACATACAAATTAGTTGAAGGTCCTCTGTTGCAGCAGATTCCGGCACCGAAGGATGCAATAACTCCGACCACAACAAAAATTAAACTTGTCACCGCGAACCCCATTTCCTTCCAATCTCACAAATTCTGCAACAACATTATAATTTCAAAATTGGTTAATTAGGACAAAATATATATAATATACTAACAAGATAACTAGAAAAATAAATTAAATATTATTACCAAATCTGATTTTATGCAGAATTTCAGATTACTGAGCTCTATAAATGCGTTTTCAGAATTTTTTTTTTGTAAAAATAGGGATGATGAAGGAGAAGCAGAAACGGTGATCTGAAAAATAATGTAATACTGGTATTTTTTCAGATTTAGAAATTAAAGTATTTTGAAAATATTTGATATTTTAATTTTTGCTCGAAGTGCTTGATTTTTTTTATATGGTACGTAGTAAAAAATTAATTTAACTAACCAAATGAGTAAGTAAAAGTAGAAGTACATATTTGATATTTATACATAGTAAAAAAAATTAATCAAACTATCCAATAAAAGTATAAAGGGTAAAAATAGATGGAAATATTTCTTCTTTTTTTATATAGGAAAAATGTCAAAAGTATATTCTAAAAGTTTGTAAAATATTTAAATTTACTTTATGTCAATAATTACGTTCAAATATACTACTTGTAATGTAATTAGTCTAAATAATTTGTTTTTCATTAATAATACCAACAATAAGTCTTTTGTTAAAAGTAAAAAAACCTAACTTTTCTTAAATTGTGTGAAATGATTCAAATTTACTCTGAATTTTAAAAAATAGAAGTTGTTGTTCAAGCAACAACAATATTATTTTTTCCAAATCCTCCAACCATAAGATCTCTATCTTGGAAACTCAAATACCCCACCCCAGCCCCTTCAAGAGACTAAAGTTTTAACTTAAATAAAACTCAATCAATTATCAATTGCTTTCCAATATTTATTTTAACTACAATTCTTTTTTGTACATAAATTTTGAAACTTTGAATTAGCTAGTTTTCAACGATAACGAATTTGAATTGCATTAAGGAAATAGAGAAGGGAAAAAAGTGACAACTTCCCTACTAGTTTTGACATTATATACATTTTTAATTTCCACACATCAATACAATACAAATGTTTTCTCCATACACTCATGAAAACAACAACAAAAACAAAAGATAAAATGACAATGGAGAGCTCTAAATATGAAATCGATTTATTAGTGAGCATTTTATCGTCCAATATAAAAATTTCTGACAGAAGTTACTTATCAACATCAAACGAAAAACAAAAAGAAAGTTACATAAAAAATTAGTTGCAACTACTAAAACCTAGAGGATCCACCAGCTTGTGAAGCCAAAGCAAGTTCAAATTGTTGAATAGAAATAGAAGGAAATGAAAGTAAATCAGATTCCTTTGAATTATCCCAGTTTTTAATCATAGGATTAATTTTTGTAGATCCATCCCATCCTATATGTGTTACATGCTTCACATCTGTTGGATATCCTATTTCCATCTCCATTTCTTCAATCTCATCTTTGTACACTGCAACAAAACAAAATATCAAGAAATTACTCAAAAATTACCTAATATGTTACATCATGAGTACAAAAAACTATAATACTTGCCAAATAATTGATAGAAACCTCTGAAATTCCTTTTGAATGTGTCTACTCCTTGAGAAATTCGTCGTCTCACCAAAACTCCATTTATTTTCACTTTTGATGGACTCTGATCTCCTACTTGTCTTTCTTCACAAAATCACAGAAATCGAAGAGTCAGAATTTTTATTAAGATGAAACAAAATATAATGAAGTAAAACATACAAACAACATACTTGTTGGAAGGTGATTTAATTGAGAATTGTTTGTGTTGTGGCTTCTGTTGGTATTGACCACTGGAACACTTGATTCAGAAACACATCCTAAAGAGAATGGAAACACAACAAACTTCTCCATGGATCTCTCCTTCATGCCTAGAAGTATATATATATATAAGTAATAATAAAAGAAGATCACATGAGAAAATAGCAAGAGTTGAAGAGATAAATGGAGTTTATATTAGTAGAGAGTAGAGACCAAATGGCTTTATAAAGAAGATAGAATGATTTTGAATGTATAGAAAAAGATATGAGACACATTAATAAGAATTAATAGAGTTTAAGTTTTATGCACGGACTCATACTAATTACAAGTAACTCTATTGGTATTATATTAATTAGTAATTTAGAATAATAGATAGGTTAGAATAGTAGTTAGGTTGTTAAACAGTTGCAAGTAGTGGTGCCTAATTTTGGCTGATTAGGTGTCCATTTCTCTAAGAAAAACAAGTTGAGCCCACAGACCAACTCTACATAACCACCTTTCTTGTGTGGTCCAACTACAACTATTCCGCTCGTGAAAACGTGCCTGGTCTATTTGTCTTGCATGAACGATAGATGTCGTGGCGTGACTTGGTCTGGTTTGGCACAAAGTTATTTTTGTTTAAGGGGAGTTAATTATGTTTACTTTAATATTATAATATGTTCAACTCCTCCGATCCCTCCAATATATAGATTATAGACATAGCGTGTATGTTAAAAAAAGGCCTAATCCATCTGTGACCCCTTAAAGTTGGTACGAAGTTTCACTTGGACATCTCAACTGGACGATGTTCATTCTAGACACCTCATGTAGAGTTCAATTGTGTCATTTTGATAAAAAAAATTCAATCAACAAAATTATATGAGGTGTGTGTGTTACACTCGCGATGACGTATAAAGTAACAAATTAAATGATGAGACTTGTCATTTGTGTCAAAAGCAATTCTTAAATAATGAATTTTGAATAAAAATAAAAAAAGTGACCAATGAATGAATAACATATGGAATTTTAACCCCAAAAAAATAAAAATAAAATCCTCACTACCCCCCCCCGCCCCCACACACACACAATTTCTCCCTACCTTGCACAAACACCCCTGCTACCGGCCATTTGCAGAAAAATACCCCGTGCCCCCCGCCCCCACCCCACACTGGCTTCTCCAAATACCTATCCACTTGCAGACACCCCCGTTCCTCCCCTGATTTTTTTTGTCCAAATCCCTTTTTTTGCATAACATCTGGCACACACGCACTTACACACGGTCCATGAATAATTTTAATACTTTAAAATCTCGAAATGGATCTATTCTTAAATTTCTAAAAATATTTTTCATCATCTTATTGTAACTATATTTATTAACCATTGTTGGATGTTTAAGTTTGCAAAAATGGTGGCTTAAAATGAAGAAGAAGAAAAAATTAAAAAGTTGACTAAATAGGATTTTCACGCGCGATCAACGAGTGTATTACACTTACTAAGTCATGTAAGCAAAAAATGTCAAAATGACACAATAGGAGCCAACATAAGGTGTCTAAAATGAACATCATCCAGTTAAGGTGTCTAAATGAAATTTCGTGCCAACTTTAAGGGGCCACCGATTGATTAGGCCCAATTTGCATTATATATAGTCACAAAAGATTAATTTTAGCCTAAATACAAATACACTTAGAACAATTAGAAATTTATAGAAAATCAAATTAAAGAAGTTTAATAGAGAGACAACACATACAAAAAATAAACACAGAAAAAAACATGCAACAACATACACATCTTTTTTAAGACTTTAATCATAACAGTATGTATATGAAAAGAAATACAAAATCACTATATATTTTTTCGAGTTTTTGCTGACACTTCTCTCATAAGCAATTATAATTCAAGAGGTCTTCTTCATTTAGTTAAAGTATGAATCAAATAGAACAATAATGATATAAGCGGTACACTAATTAAACTATAGAATGAAAAGAATAACCTTAGTTAGGATACTCATGAAACAAATAAAGATGAATTTATATGGATAAAAATAGGGTAATTAGATAGTGTAAGTTATGAAGATGAATATATTATTCCTTATCACAATGAAAAGAAAGAATACAATAACTGCAATTGTTATTCAAAATAATAGTAGCAATTAAAGTTGCACCAAGTAATTTGTCTAAATTATTATCGATGAAACATTGCAAGATCCTCCATCTTTTTAATCAGCATTCCTTTAATAAAATGAAGGAATAATTTACACTTAGAGATTAAAATATTCATTCAATCTTTAGTGGGCATTATGGTCTTTATATATTGATTTAACTCAATGGTCTCATAATAAAATAATTTACTTTTTAGTATAATGAAAAATATTTTTAAAAATGAAACTATTTTAGTCTTTAAAAGGGTAGAAATGCCTAATATTTTTTTATGAATATTTTGTCTTTAAACTTTTTGACTTAACATTTTCATATTTTTAATATTTAGTGTAGCATATAGAATGATTACTATTTAATATTTAATTAAGTAAATATTTTATAATATTTTGATTTAACATAGGAATAAGATGATAATCCAACTTTATACTCTGTTGTTTAAATCTTGTTTACCCTTCAACCAAAAACAACCTTCGTAGGCAAAAAAAATGGACAAATACAATGAAAACTTATCACACAATGTAATATAACACAAAAAGATTGAAGAGAGGACACCATATCAGAAAGAAAAATTATGCATTAGGATCGTATCATATATAGCCAAAAAGAACATACACAATGAAATTAATTTTATACAATGACAAACAATCAAAGAAATATAAAAAATATTATGAACAACATATCCCAAAATTGTAGTCCACCTTACTTTTTTTCTATTAATATACCAACATATTATCTAAATATAACAAACAAATCATTAAATATAGAAGGAAGAATTATATAATTAACAAAACTAAAACCGAAAAGAACAAGGAAAAAATTGATAGCTAACTTGTGACTTACTCTTTCAATAGATTTATTGTCAAAATAACAGTTTCAAATGTATTAGAACCTTTGTGTGCCATCATATAGTTTCATGCAATAGAGAAGACCAAGAAAATTTTCATTCCAAGAAAAAAGGGTTGGAATATGAATTCTTGTACTTTTGAGTGCTCTTGATTTGTGTTGTTATTTTCTTTCTACATGTCTTAAATATCTATACATTTCAATAATATGTGGAAGATGAAATAATTCAAGTTAATTAGAAAGGTTGAAGTGACATATGAAAGTTCAAAAAAGTGATCTTTTCATTTACCATATTCATTGTAATTGAATGTAAGTTAAGTAGTGTGTTCAAAATTTAAAACTGAAAAAACCTTTCAACTTCAGTAATTAAGTGATGCATGAATAAATAGGAGTAATAGATAGACTTTAAAAAATCTGATCATTTGCCTTACGTAATTGAAAAGACATTGACTACATAAATTAAAACTTTCTCCCTAACTTTAAATACTTTAGAAAATTAAATAGAAGGATATAGTATTATTTGATATATATATATATACCATTATGTAATTAAAATATTTGTATTTAATTAAATAATTAATCAAATTTTAATTTAGTATAAGGGCAAAATGATAATTCAACTTTTTACTTTAGAGCTTTCCACTTATAATAATATATGATATGATTGTTCTTATATGTACTCCTTCGGTTAGAGTAGTAGTAGTTAGGTGCCTAATTTTGGCTGATTACTTGTCCAAATAATTAAGCAGACCCCCCAAATTAAACCAACTCTAATCTCGTGAACACGCTCCATTTTGTCTTGTATGAAGATCTCAAGAGACGTATCCATTTTTATTTTATTATTATTATTATTATTATTATTAATGGGAAAAGGGTCAAATATGCCCCTAAACTATTCGAAAAGCCCCGTTTAAAGTTTGGCTCACTCGTGCCCTCGCCGTCCAACTTTTCGTCTAGATATGCCCTTATGGGAGTTAAATGCCAAATGAAATTGCCACGTCATTTTTACATTACCACGTGACATTTATATTAAAGGGAAAAGGGTCAAATATACTCCTAAACTATTCAAAAAGGTCTAGATATACCCCCCCCCCCTTTTTAAATAAACTACCCGACCCGTTTTCAACAAATTTTTT